CTGGAAAAAAGTACAGAAAAGGGCAACCAAAATGTTTGTGTGGCTGGAAGAACAGCATTTGAGGCCTTTGGGGGGGTGGAAAAAGACAAATAAGCAGGGGACATGATTGAGGTGTACAGGATTATGCACGGTGTGGAGAAAATGGATAAATACTTTTCCCCCTCCCTCTCTCAAAATACTCAGCCTGAGGGTTATTCAAGGAAAATGAATGTTGGAGATTTAGGACAGAAAAAAAGGAAGCACTCCTTCCCACAGTGCTTAGTTAAAGTATGGAATTCACTACCACAAGATGTAGGAATAGCCACCAACCTGAATGACTTTAAAAAGGTTTAAGACTAATTCATGGTGAGGAAGACTATCAAAGGCTGCTAGCCATGATGACTGTATGATATCTCATGTTTTGGAGGCTGTATGCTACTGAATACCAGTATTCACCAGAAAGCACAAGTGGGAAGTTTGTTGTTGCATTCAAGCCCTCCTGGCCATCTTCCCAAAGGCATGTGGTTGTCCAGGGAGAAGAGGAGGCAGAACTAGATGGGCCTTTGGTCTCATTTAGCAGGGCTCTTCTTGTGTTCTATGTTTGGGTGCCATGGGAGACCTTGAATCCCACTCAGCCATGGACTTAGTGCCTGGCTTTAGGCAAATTGCAGTTTTACAGTTTTAGTTCCTGATCAGCCGCAGGGAATACATGTGGCCTAGCCCACAGGACTGTTGTGAAGAGAAATTGGAGAATGACTGTAATGTAATGAACATGTTTAAAAGTGCTGTAAATGCTAAGTGCAAACAATATCTATCAACTTTCAACGTCAAGAATCCAAGAAAACCACTAAAAAGGGGGATATCTACCAATATTTCAATTTTTAACAAGATTTAGCACTCAATTAAAAGCAGAGGAATTAGAAAAGGTGGTAGAATAGTTCTGCCATTTGTATGTAGCACAGAATATAGCACAAGAAAGTATGCTGCCTATTTGGAATGTATGCTGTCAAGCTGCAATGCTCCAAGCTTTACATTTGCACAATGCTATCTTGCCTGAAGGACAAACAATTGTTACTGATGCATTACAGTTGCCTAAGATACAGTAGTCATTTTAGGCTTGATGGAAACATAAGATTTTTGCCATCTTTAAAAATTTAAACTGTCAAAATAAATAAAAAGGAGTTAACTCGAAAGGTAGATTTATTCTACCAAACAAGTACAGACTGAGACAAAAATTCTGTTTGAACCTCTAATTTGGAGGGGATCCTTAATGAGTGTGGGTGTCCATTTATATTCAGCTTCCATAAAATTAAAGTTTCCAGTTATTTGACCACGGAAGCTGTTCATTCACAAATGCTTTAGACTACGCCTCTCTTATTACCAGGTGCCACGCAACAATGTTTTCATTTTCCCAGTCTTTTTAACAATACTAATGGGGTTTTTTAAAAGTTTGTTGTTTATGCTTTATTTGAATTGTATCAGTTTGCCCTAGAAGCTCTGCTGAAGGGCAGTGGAAATATTTAAATAAAGAATATTGAATACACAGGCAGACATTTAGGATTGGGCTGGCCTATTCCAACACCCCACACATGCACCTGCAGTCCACACACTGGACACTGTTTACATGGGAATGCATCTGCTTAGTGATCAATGCATGTAGGCCCAGACTGCACAATCTATACACAATAAAGCAAAGAGCATCTGTCTATATGGTATCTGAAGCAGCTTCAACTTGAATCAGTTTTGTTTTAAAATGTCTGCAAATATCAGTTTTTATGATAATGGAATTTCCAACTTTTGCTGAGCTTTCCTAGGCCTTTAGCCTAGTCATACATTTCCTCTTTCTTCATTCATACTGCATATTCCCCAAAGCCCAAACAAATCCAGTATTAAGAGTGTGCATTAGCCCAAATGATTTTCCAACAGTACAGGTTTCCCCTAGCCAGCTCAAAAGAGGCACCATATACTACTGCTCTTGGGAATAAGAATTACTGTTTGCTGGTGTGATTATAAAACAGATCTGCTGACGTTAGAACAGCAGAACAGAAATCCAGCTCATGTTTAGGCACAAGATGGATCAACAGTCTGTTTTTAATGTGATAATTTTCAGATCTGGTCAAAGTTGTTTGAAATACAATATGCATATAAAACACAGTAAGACAATTATTTTGTCTTTAAATTTTGGCACGTGGGTGGAAAGAGGTGGCCTCATGCCTTGCAGCCAATTAGTTATTTATTTCAATTAGTTATTTATTTCAGCCAATATATTACATCTCAGCTCAACAACTGTTGGCCATGCTCCACAGACCCGGCCTTCCCTTCCATTTTACCTTTCTTCCTTCCAATTTTACCTGGTCTCCCAGATCCTAATCCAACATGGAAGGAGCCCTTCCATTCAGAGCAACCTAGTTAGGATACAAGTCCCAGAACATAACCACCACAAAACATTAGATTTTTAAAAATATCATCAAACTCCTATGGTAAACAGGCCTTCAGAGAAATATACCTAAGCAGAAGAGAGAAGTATGGGAGTAGAGAAGGCTTGAAGCTTTCTAGGAGGCTGGAGACCAAACACTGATGTATATACACTCCCAGGGAAGGGAGTTCCACAGCAATCCTATGCACATTGAACTAAAGGGAACCAACTTTTTAAGTCAACATGCATAGGATTGTGCTGTGAGTCATAATTAAGTTGGCTCCATCAGCATCTTTCTCTTCTTTGACCCCGCCCCCTGTTATGATCCAATATATTCCTCTGTGAAAGAGGTTAAAGAATGAGCAGGTTAATTTCTTGGTCTCAATACCATTGGTTCCACGTGTGTGTGTGTGTGTGTGTGTTACTTTGAAACAGCACACATTGTCTTGCACATTTTAAACACAATTTGTGGAACAGATTAAATAACAAATGGTATTTTTTCATTCTTTCAAATATAACAAACATTAAAAAGGACCCTCATGTCTGTTCACACGATTTGGATGCTTATCTGAAAAAGAGACTTTGGGAAAGATTTAAATTGTTTTGATTTGCTTTGACTGGAGTTCACTATTCTCCAGTCCAAATATCAGCTTAACAGCATTTGAAAATTGAGGAATTTCATAATTATGCTAATAAGAATGATTTTACCTTTCAGTTCTCAGTTGTTTATGGCTCCTGAAAGCATTATGCTAATTAAAAAGGCTAGTAACTAGTTGACGTAGGCCACTCCAACAAGTATGCTATCTCTCTCTATGTGTAGCTTCCTCTCATTGCAAAAAACCTAAAATGGTATTATTTTGACATCTCCAAGAAATGCCTGCAATGTGTCTCATGGGTACCTACAAATTTATATTATAGGCAATAAACTCACTGTACGTATGTTTGTTTAATTCATATTTAAATTAAACAGAACTTTCATAAAGCTTAATAATATGCACTGAACTCAACACGTGACAGTGCAATATATAGCAGGAAAGAGGGAGGCAGGGAATCAAAGCTGTGTCTTACTGTGATATGATCTTCAAACAGCATGCTTAAATTGTTAAAAAGTCTCAACAGACTAAAAACTGAGTTTGGTTTCTATTTGACTGTATTAATTCATATTGCAATTTAGGTACAGTAATTTATTATTATTTTTAAAGAAACACATAGGCCACAAACTGCAATTTAAATTTATACTGGTTCTTCAGCTATATAGACTGCATTTCTTGCTACAGAAAAGGCTTCATGAAATTTGTCATAGTCAAGAAAAGGCTGTGATGTGGAATGACATCCATAGTTAGACACCTTATAGGGGAAATGGCAGGCAAATAAACATTTAGCTGTGAAATCATCAATCTTTACTGAATATGCAGGATAAATGCAGCTATCTTTGAGCTGCCTACTTTTTCAGACTATTATATTTGTATTGGACACAAAACTGTATGGATCATTTTTACAAAAGCTAGTATCTCTGCAGCATGTTGTGGTATGAAAGCCACAAAAATGCAGTCTCAGTATACCAGAATGCCTTTAACCTCATTACTAATTTTGTCATCATCTCAGAAACCGTAGAACAATTAAGAATTTTATCTTAGTTCAACATCCCAGGGTGGATTCCTTTCCCCCAAGAGCTCAGAATTGGTGAAACAAAAAATAGTAGAGGTCTGCAATATTTCCACCTCAGAAAGATAAAGCCCTCTTGCAAGAGACCTGTCAAACTGAATTATGTTCCATATTTCAACCATACATGCTTATATGTACATGATTCACTATACTAGCATGAGCCCTATGGTACTTAGTGGGCCATGTTGTTTTACATAAAGTCACATACATTTCCCTATAGCAAAGCTCTAAGCGAGAAGAGCCTAACATTCTATGGCCACAACTGCTGCAAATTAAAGGGCTGGAGGATTGCTATGTTATGGCCTCCAAACACAAATACTACACTAATGGGAAAACCCAAAAGTATCCTTCTTTTCTTATGCTTGAATATATCTGCATCCTTCTAATTTTTCATACGTATGTCTAAAAAAGTAATAACTACAGAAAAAAATAGATTCCTTCTCCAATAAAAGATCAAGTGAATCTAACCTGAAAATGTTTTATGCAACCCTTTTCTCCCCCACCCCCCCAAACATGCACAAAAAAGTGTCAGTGATTTTTCTACAGAGTATTCAACGCACCATTCTTAATGCGATACAATAAAATACTCCCATCTTCCATATTTGCTATGCAAATGTTTCTCCCATTCTCTTTATTTGCACAGAATATTTCAATGTGTCACTAACTGCTGGATTTTCTTCTACCCTGAGAAGATCTGCATGAATAAAAAAAATGTCCACAACCACAACTGCATCAACAGAACCGAGAATTTGATCACTAGAGATGGTATCTGGCAAGTCAGTTATTTGTACCACGGAAGTTCGGCTTTTAATATTTTTAATCCTGCACCCAGAATGTTCTATAGATGATACCCATCTAAGGCATCAACAGTTTTGCCCTCCAAGCACTGCTGTAACACACAGCGCTAAAAATGTTAAGGCATAATCAGAGCAGAACCTACCTTCCATCATGGTGGCAGAATTGCATTCCTCAGTTTCCACAGAGCCTGAAAAAATACAGGAAATTACGATTCCAGTTATCAGATGCTTAATGTAAGCCCTTAAAACCAGTGTCTTAGATACATGATTGGTGCAGCAGCCAGAAGAAAATAAAATGCGGAGGAAAAAACAGAATGAGAGTGTGCTAAGGCAAAAGATAGGCCATGGATGCTGCTGTAGCTGTATCACCTACAGGCTCACAGAAGGATGCTGAGAGAGAGAGAGGGAGAGAGAGAGAGAGAAAGGGAGGGGTGGAGGGAGCTGGCTTAGCTCACACGCCTGCTAGTATCTCAGCCAATCCCTCTAGCTTTCTATCTCGTCACATGGTAGCTTGCTTGCATCTCCTGACACAATACCCCTGGAGAACACAGGAACCTATTTTCCCCCCTTTCTCCCCCTCGGTTTCACAACACACACACACACACACACACACACACACACACACGCCCTCAGCTTCTGTGCCTTGTGATGTACTTCCCCCCTCTATAATCTTGTGGCAGCATCTGGGTGAACAAGATTAATTATCAAGCACTGTCAGATTAGCACAGAGGTTTGCTGTGAAATCTGCATGTAAACAGGGTTGGGGCAAAATTGATTTAATTATATTCTTTTTTTATTTTAAAAAAACACAAATTAAAAATAAATTCCGCTGGCATGGTACTGTAGAAATGGAACTGCGCAGCTGCCTTCTGATAATGCCCATGTATCCAGGATGTCAGCTTCTATAGATCTCATAACACAGAGAAACTGTAAGCCTGGCTTCACATTTGTGTCGGCTGATTCCCCCCCCCCATTCCCCTCTCCTCCCTGCCAGTCCCTCCTTCCCTGCCCCCCACCAACCATTCAAGAGAAAAATCAATTGGCCTGACGTCACATCATAAACAATTATCCTCAGGAGGAGGATGCAGAAGGAATTTCACCCAGACCACCTTCCAAGAGTGCACTGGAATTAATTTCGCTTGGAGAACATCCGCATCAAGGGGCAGGGAACTGCCATTAGAAAACCAGAGGAAACAAAAGGGATACAGACACGAGGGACTTTCAAAACCAGCAGGCTCGGAAATGCGCAATAACGTCAGGAGAGAAGAAATAAAAAGCTGTGGGACCAGGCTGCAGCTTTTCAGGAAACACAACGGTAAAACAGACACGAACCAGCAGAGTTAGCACTGGCATCTCTCACTTGTTACCTTGCAATGCAGTAACAAAGTGTATATACAAGGCTAAACGATGGGGTGAGAAAACCTAGAGTGTTGCTGACTACCCCCTGTAATTTGTCTGTCTTCTCCTTCCATAGCAGGCGTATTTCATCATATCCTAGTAATTCTTCTGTAGCCATTGGTATTGCTAAACATATTTACTACTGAAGTAAATATGTGAAGTGGGTAAAGGAAGAGAGCATTTTTGCCACAGCCAATACTCACAGTGGAAGCAAATAAAATTTGTCTCAGTGACTGCTAAAGGAGACTTAGATAAGAGTTATCTATCTCTGCAACAGTCTTAAGGTATTCTTTAAAGTTCTGGAAAAATAATTATTTACTTTTTCACATAGTACCAGGATTAAGGGAACTTGGAGAAGTTAACATTTTTTCCATTTAAACATGCTGTGTTTTCTCAAAGGATCTGCTCTCTCAAATCCCTGCTGCAGGATTTTCCAGTGACCTGTGCTATACATGCTGGAGAATTTTTAAGTAACAGATTTATCCATCTGTGAGGAACCTTTGAATCTATAGATGCTACTGAACTACAACTCCCATCATCTCTGACAATTGGTGATGTTGGCTGGGGCTGATAGGAATTGCAGTCCATCAACATCTGGAGGGCCAAAGGTCTCCTCATTTATGGCATAAGAGGTAGCTATAAGAGTTCAAACAGGTACACATGGTTAACAGCTGACTTACAAGGGGCATGATTAGATTTCTTAGTATGAATTTTGCATTAAGATTTTCAAGAAAGGACAAAGTCCTCTAAATCTAATAATTCAATGTTCTTGGCAAACTTTCTAGAACACTAGCCTTGGTTTGAACCTTGATATAGGAATATGCCCTTGAAGCCAAATGACATGGAGGCTATAATGGAACATTGCCCAATGGACCCACCACTCCCAGTCTTTTAGAAACCTCAGCTCAAAATTTGTCTTCTTTGCAGAAATACAACTTAGATGCAGCAGCACTAGAGCACAGCCCTGGTCAGTGAAATAATGGCTTTGGGGGATTAGAGAGGAAGGAGTTTGCACAGTCTTGACTGACCAACTGGAAATTCACATGATTTTGGCATGAAGGTTGAGTCATAATAATGGAGCCCGCAGGACTGCCAACTGCTCTTATTGTTTCTTTGCTCTCTTCCAATCAGTACATACATTCCGCTGCTTTGAGACTTGTTGGCATCCGTCTGTCTCAAGAGACAATGGAGTGCACCTCTGGGGGTGAAGTCAAGCCACTGCGTTAGCAGCAGTGAAGTGACACAAGCCTGAGCAGTGTGTATGGAGGTCCTGGGCTGCCCAGACGACAATCTCCTTCATAGTTGCTGTTTTAATCCTAACTAGAAATTAATTTGGGACCAGCTCAAATAATCTGTAATTTGGAAATGTCATATGTGCAATGGAACCATGAGCCTGAATGTATGCCTATGAACATACAATGCAATGTGTTACGTAAGCACATTGTACATATATGCTTTCACCTGCAGTTAGAGATTTCCCATTGGAAAGGGTGATGGTGTCTGATGTTCATGTGCACCATGGATCCAATTTTACATTGTACATGTAAAGAGTACCTCATGTAGTTGTACTCAACTATAACCCAACCAGAACAGACCCATTGAAATTAATGAAACTAAGTAATTTTATCATTTATTGATTTATTTAATTTATATACTGCCTTTCATCCGAAGATCACAGGGTGGTTTATAATATAAAAACAGAAAAATACCATACTAACAAAAACAATACCCCTCCCAATAGTTTAAAAGACCATAGACTGGGTTTAAACAAATAAACAAAGGCTTGGGAGAAGAGAAATGCTTTTGCCTGGTGCCTAAAGATATGCAACGAAGGTGCCAGGCAAGTCTCCCTGGGGAAGAGCAGGGAGTCACTGCAGAAGAGGCCTGTTCTCATGTTGCCACCCTCCGAAAATCATCAATGGGTCTATTCTGAGTAGAACTAGAATTTAATATCACCCTATATATGCAAATTCCAATTTAGAGGTTGTGTGAACCAACCATTGGCATGAACGTGGATGTTTCTTAATATTGTAGTTTGTTACAGAATATCAAACACACTTTAAAAAGACATAACGGCTTTCTCTTGAAAGCAAGACAAAAACCTCTAACTTCAAAGTGCATAAAGAGACACTATTTCTTTCCAAGTTGAGACGTGACCGGGACTAAAAAGCAGATAATGTTGTGGTGACAGCCCATCCCTGCACAGCCAGTTTCTCATACCCCACAAAACAGCTGGAAGATTGGGCCATTCCAATGCAATTTGTTTACACTGGGCAGTATTGGGCCTCAATAACTACCTATGACCATCTCTTTAATGCTTCTCAGTTGAGTTGAGAAGGAATCATGCTGGTGCAGAGCATGTCAGAAGCCCAGGGCAGAAGTCTTGTTAGAATAAATAAATAAACTCAAACAAAAAAGCAGCCGATCCCTGGCAGGGGCCCTGATCGCCTTAGCTCTCCAAATCTGGAGAAAGTATACCCGGTTCCCATTCTCCTCTGTACAGGCCTGGAAGGAATACAAGGTGTCAATCTGAATAAAATGTTGTGGGGGGCCTAGGTAAGCCCCATCCCACATCATCAGTCACATGATGCAGTGCACACACCATTTGAATGGGAATGTCCATGAACTTTGTGGGGGCCTGACCACCTCAAATATTTTATTGTGGGGGCCGAAGCCCCCACAGCCCCTAGGAGTTGGCTCCTACGCAAGGGGTGTATCCAAGTGCAGAGAACTATTGCATACATACACAACTGGTCATCTTGATGGACATTGTTACAGAATGGGTCACAAAATAAATACCACATGTGTACCAGCTGTAGCATGGCATCATATGCATTAACATTTTTAGTGCATAATTATACAGTGGTACCTCTAGTTACGAACTTAATTTGTTCCGGAGGTCCATTCTTAACCTGAAACTGTTCTTAACTAGAGGCGTGCTTTCACTAATGGGGCCTCTTGCTGCCACTGCGCCGCTGGAACAATTTCCGTTCTCATCCTGGGGCAAAGTTCTCAACTCGAGGTAACTCTTCCAGGTTAGCGGAGTTTGTAACCTGAAGCGTTTGTAACCTGAGGAGTTTGTAACTTGAGGTACCACTGTAATTACACACCCATTTTACTTCAGCCCTTTGATTTACTAAAGGCTCCCAAGATAGCCTGTTATAGAAATGGGGTGGGGGCGGGGAGGTTAACTTAAGGCTCTTCATTCAAATGAATTATTGAACAAGAAAGCACTTTAGTGTGGGGTAAGAGACACACATGATGAAGTCTAGACAGACAGCAAAAGCAAAGTAGCTCTGAGAAACTGTGAATGGTACTGTCCTATGCACTGCCAACCTTTACTGCTGCTCCTTGACTTATAAAAGGAAAACACTGGAAAGTTTCCATGTGAACAATGTGCTTTGCTTATACTGCACCCTATGGGGGGGCACACTTGAGTAATTGTAATTTATGGTCAAGCTAGATGTTACCATGAATATGTTGCTAGTCACTATTTGTTGATTGCAACGTTATTCAGGACAACTAAATTTAATGGGTCTACTCTGAGAAAACTGGATACAGTCCAATGTCAGGAGATTTTTTATTTTTAAAAAAAGTAATAGCAGTTGTGGGTGGATGGGGGAAATTTTAGAGGAGCCACAACCATTTGTCTCCTTATGTTTTAATTTAAGTTGACTTTGTAATAGTTGCTTTACAAATTTACATTATTTCTTCAGCAGGTGTAATGAAACTTTGTTCTAACTTTCTTAGGACATAATATATCTACTAAATTATGTAGGGATATTTGAGG